AATAAAAAAATTAAAATAAGTTATAAAAATTAATTTTTTATTAACCTAGTATTGAAAAATGAAATTAATAAATAAAAAAAGTTTAAAAATAATAATAAAAACTACTTGAATAAACTTGTCAAAGTTATGACCCGAGTTATGAGATAAAAATAAATTTATAAAAAACAAATCACAAAATCTAATTTCTAATTAACTCAATATTAAAAAATATTTTTTTTTAAAAATCAATCAGAAAAAAATAAAAAAAAGTTTAAGTTAATATGTCAAACTCGCAATTTAGATTATAAAACTTATATAATTTTATAAAAAATAAATTAATTTTTTATAAAATTAAATTCTTAATTAATTTAATATTAAAGAATATATATATATAAAAACTGATCCCTCCTATTTTGGTTTATTTTTTAATATTGTTAATGTTAATATTTGAGAATTTTATTTTATACTTTTTCTTAAAAAATAGAGAACTCGAAAATACTGTCTATTTTGGTAACTATACATTAGACCTCCGTCTTCACACTCAAACTAACTTCGCCACTTCCCCCACCTTCCTTAACTAAAATCAAATCCAATCTAATAAATAAATCCCCAACTTCTAGGTTTCAAAATCTCTAAAAATCCAAACAAAAAATCCTAAAATTTCTCTCCTTTCAATGAGATTACCAGGGGCAGACCTCTTCGGTCCTCGAATTGGAATGGACTCGGACCTCTCTCCGGTCGAGTATCGGTCTGACTATGATTTCGGTTTCGCTTTCAATGACAGTAATTTCTCCGATAGGGTCTTAAAGATTGAGATCGTTGCTGATTTTCCAGATGAAAAATCAGTCGGTGATGGTTGTTCTAGCATCACTGAGTGGGCCCGTAACCGAAAGAGAAGAAGAGAGGATATTATGAAAGATAAAGGTCAGTACTTGTATGTTATGTTTTTCCTTTTTTAACTTTTTTGTTTGTGAATTTGAATAATTGGGATTTATTTGGATTGATGATCTTTGGAAATTAGTATTGCCAAAGTTGTATAATTTTGATATAATGTGTTAACTGGATTAGAAGTAATGGTTTTTTTTTTTTGTTGATCGGGAACCATTAGTTTTACTTTAATGTCTAATTGTTGGCATTACAAATTGATATTTTTTTTTTAATTTTTATGTGAATTTGAACGTTATGCGTTTTTAAGTGTCATTGGGTAATTTAGAGTTATTATTTTTTTTTTAAAGTAATGAGATTTTGATGTTACCTGAGTGTTTGCTTTTGCTTTACAACTTGTTTTTCTCTGAAAAAGCATCAAATAGATGTTATTTAGGTGTTTTTGGATGATTTTGATGTGTTGATGTAAAAAAAAAAATAATAAAAAATATTATTTTGATACATTTTCAATTGAAAAGTACTTTTAAAAACCTCACTGCACCACAATACGAAACATACTCATGATGTCTTTTATGTATAAACAGTGATGAAGTTGTTGCATTTGGAACTGTCAGTTTACTTTAAAGCTCTAATATTTAGCCATATTGGGTTCTTTTATTTTCTTTTCTAGAATAAAATATTTTAATTATTGTCCATGTTGATACTGGTTTTACTGATTTAGAAACTGGTTTACACTTTGTGGCATCTAGCTGTGGAAGTTGTGGGGCAAAACAAGGACGAGCAGGTACTGAATTTTAATATTCCAGACACAGAGAATAATGTGGCTTATGAAAATCAAGATGTAGAAGCTGTAGTCATGACTGAGGGGTCTCCTACAGATGCTCAATTGGATTTTAATCAACGTGGTATTTTTCTTATTTTATTTTATTCTATAATCTTTTCTTTTGTGGTCACTTGCATGTAAAATTTAGCGATTGCCCTGTTAAAACAGCATTCTGTTTGTATGATTGGCTGTTTTAATTGTGTAGGTGATGCTGCTGGTCCAAGCAGTGACTCATCCTGGAGCATGGATTGTAAAACAGTTCTAAGAGTTAAGAGTGTACATATTAGCTCTGCAATATTGGCAGCCAAGAGTCTGTTTTTTCACAAGGTGAGAAGCTGTGCCTTGTTTTTGCTACTTTTATTGACTGAACTTTGTGCCTTATAAACTTCTTATGTTGTTTCTTGTAGTTGTTTTTAAATGGGATAAAGGAGTCAGAGCAGCGAGACGTAACTGTACAGATACATGCCTCTGGTAAATACAGTAGCCTTAGATTATTTGCTACTTCTGGTTACTACTGCCTGTTGATGGCTATTTGTTTTCTAAAAAAAAAAAATTATTTAGTTTTTCCAGTGTTAGTTCTGCACCTTTACACATTTATGGGCCATCATTGTTGTCATTATTTCTTTGTTCCAATGTTAAGTAAATGAAGTTGACTTGACACTGTTTTCTTCTTCCCCTATTTGCTTTGCTGGAACAGAAGAAGAGGCCTTATTGGACCTCCTCAATTTTATGTACAGTAACACCTTATCAGCAACCCGAGCTACTGCTTTGCTGGATGTGCTCTTGGCTGCTGACAAATTCAAGGTTGCATCATGTATGAGATATTGCAGCAGGTTATTGCGCAACATTCCAATGACCTGTGAATCTGCTTTGCTCTTCTTGGACCTTCCTTCAAGCATTTTAATGGCAGAAGCAGTTCAGCCCCTGACAGATGCAGCAAAGCAGTTTCTTGCTGTAAAATACAAAGAAATATCAAAGTAAGCCTCTTTTATTCGCCACTCATTTTTCATTGTAATTGATGGCATGCCTGTTATTATTTGAAATTATCCTTGTAATTTAATGCCAATGTTCTGTGATAAAGATTCGATTTTGGCATTGCCTACAAATTTTGCTTAACAAGAAATATTTGAGCTTATTTTTTTTAGCTGCTTGCAGCACTAATTTCTCATGGAATGTGGAAAATGCTTTTAAGCTTCTTTGTCATTTATGTCCTGAATTATTGAGCCATCCTGTTGAGCTTCATTTCTGGTTAGGTTTCAGGAAGAGGTGCTTAAATTGCCTTTGGCTGGTATTGAGGCAGTGCTATCCAGTGATGATCTCCAGGCAGCTTCAGAGGATACTCTTTATGACTTAGTGCTTAAGTGGGCTCGTACTCAATATCCAAAAATGGAGGAGCGAAAAGAAGTTCTTGCCAAACGACTAGTTCGATTAATTCGTTTCCCTTATATGACCTGTCGAAAACTAAAGAAGGTTTTAAATTGTAATGAGTTTCACCCAGAACTTGCATCCAAGGTTGTGCTTGAGGCCTTGTTTTTCAAGGCTGAAACATCACATAGGCAGCGTGCTATTGCAGCAGATGAGCCAAATGCTGTCAATCGTCGCTTTGTGGAGCGGGCATACAAGTATCGACCAGTCAAGGTGGTTGAGCTTGAACTTCCTCATCAGCAGTGTGTGGTCTACCTGGACTTGAAGCGGGAGGAGTGTGCACAACTATTTCCAGCTGGCCGGGTGTACTCACAAGCTTTTCACCTGGGTGGACAGGGATTTTTCTTGTCTGCTCACTGCAACATGGACCAACAGGGCACATACCACTGCTTTGGACTTTTTCTGGGAATGCAAGAAAAAGGTTCAGTGAGCTTTGCTGTCGACTATGAGTTTGCAGCCAGGTCAAAGCAAACTGAGGAGTATGTGAGCAAGTACAAAGGAAACTACACTTTCACAGGTGGGAAGGCAGTTGGGTATCGAAACCTGTTTGGTGTACACTGGCAAGCATTCATAGAAGATGACAGCAATAATTTTATTAATGGCATCCTCCATCTCAGGGCTGAGCTTACCATAAGGCAATGAGTTTTTATCTCCAAGACATGGCTTTTTGAAGGCTCAGGTTGATTTTGGGTTTTCCAGGCTGCTGTAATTTGATATATTCATTCCAGTCATGCCACGTTGTGATGGTGAAAGTAATATGTCAAAATTCGAAGATACTATTTTGACCCTCGCTAGATGAATTGTAGTTACTGGTCGAGCAATTATTTATTTATTTTTTTCATGCTTATCTCCTTTCTGCTGAGGGGAGGAAAAACAGGGGAGGAGGGGGGGATGGTGGAGCTTAGATCATTTTGACTTGGATACTTTTGTTGCTAACCTAGATGCATTTGAGCTCGTGATTTTAGCAGGAATTTTTCAAATATTCAGGGCGGGGAAGGAGTCATATTTTGTTGTTTTTCATTCAAATGGAAACAACATAGCAATCAAGCTAATCTTCTGTGATGACCATGAAGCTGTTTGCGAGTGTATATATAATATATCTATGTACTCACATGTAGGACTTGCCTTAGCTACATTGGCATCTGGCACCCATCTAGAATTTCAATGTCGATACCGTGTAAAAGAACATAGACGCTGCTTTGCCGTCGGCCATCATTAAACAGAACCCAGAAATTCAAAGGTACCCCGCTATGATAAGCTTGACCCCTCCAGTTCATGTAAAAAGAAAGAAGTCTTGCTTTTTCTCACTCATGGAGCATGACACGTTTAAATTGGGACAACTAGGTCGCTATAATTGCTTTATTAATCAATTACAGGGCGGGCTTTTGCATCAAATTCCACATGCCAAGTTGCTTGCACAGTGGGGAGAGCAAAAAAAGGGCAAGCTTTTATAGCTAACACAAATCCGCGTGTTACTCTCTTTTATTTATTTTCATCCACCAGAAAATGCTTAGTCTAACAAAAAAAGCAATTTCTTAAGGCAACGAGGTATGATCGATGCAGCTTTTGCATATCAAGATTAAAGCCCTTCTTTTGCTGGAGTTTCTGACGATTCATCCGCACCTCAATTCACGTATTTATAAAAAAATTTATTCTCTCGAATCTCTGCTTCGATTATAACATTCGACTGATAAAACACAGGAACAAACCAACTTCTCTCTCGTGTCAAGCCTCCAAGGGTGACACCATATGAGCTAAATTGTAGAAAACATATTCACCTCAACATACTGGATTGCAGTGGCTTGAAGTCAAACTAAATTGAGTTTTTAGACCTTCCTACAGGGTCCCGCTATAAGTGTGCTTTGAAAAGGCATCATGATTCAAGAAAACACTAATTAAGTTTCCAAGAGTTTATGTGGCAATTATTATAGAGTATAGATCCTTCTTCATGCCTCCGATCTCTGGTGTTAATCTGACCCTTTTTCTGATTGTATTAAAAAACATTGCTGTTTACAACCAAGATCCAACATGAGCTTGAACATCATCTGGTTGGTTCTCAGCTTGTTTTTTTCACCATTTGTTTACAGCTCAGACAACTTTACTACTGATACTTTGGATACATTTCTTCAGGATTCTGCTTTTAAATCCTTGGTTCGCCAGTGGCCTCACACTGGTGCTTTATACAAGGGTCTGATTCCTGTGAATCTATCAGGTATGGAAGTCTCAATAGTACGAATCAGAAGCCGGACACTGTGGAAAATTGGTGCTAATTTTAGCAACTTTCAGATTCCATCCAGAACCATGACATCGCCACATGTGAAGAGGCTGGCTATAGTCTATCAAGACTTGGGCAACTGGTCTTCTTATTACTACAGCGCTCCAGGTTACTCAATGATCACTCCTGTTGTTGGTTTCATGGTTTTCAATGCATCAAACGCAAGGGCCGAAAGCACTGAGAAGATTAGCCTTGATACAAGGGGAAAGGCTATAGTAATTCGTTTCGCCAGCTCAACGATGCCTGAGAGCATGATAGTTTTTGGAGCAAAATGTGTAACATTTAGTACTAGTGGGAAATTTCACCTTAGTGAAATCAACCAGTTTAATGAATGTCATTCTCAAGATCAAGGCCACTTCTCTATTGTGGTTCCACTACAGAGGAAAGGAAGAGATAAGAGGAAGCGTAGTCTGTGGTATTTATGGGTGATAGAGTTTGTGCTTGGATTCAGTGTAGTGGCTTTTCTAGGATACTTTGGGATAGTGTCTCTGAAACTCTTGAAAACGAAGAAGATTCAAGCAATGGAAAGACAATCTGATGAAGATTTGGTTCTTGATACTATTTGGGTTGGCACTAGTAAAATGCCTTCTGCAACAGTAACAAGAACTCAGCCAAACCTTGACAATGGAGGTTTTTTAGAGTCCTAGAGTATAGACCTTTTCCTTTGATCCTTGCTTAAATCCTCTTCTTTGTTCAACTCTTCTCTTTTCCCTAGTATTTCTTTTTTTCAGAAAGCGTGAGGTATAAAATGTTTTTATTTTTTATTTTTTAAGATTTCTGAATCTGTTGAACGATGAATATTCATGTTCGGCAAAGAAAAATGGACAGTGTTTTGAGCACGTGAATTAGAGGTTACTATATATTCTAGTTTATGTGCCTTCACGAACACACTGCAATTAATACTTGTACTCGGATTTAAAGCTGTTGTTGAACAAGAAGATCCTTTATTCGAAACAAACTACTTCATTGTAGCGGATTGCAAGCAGTACATAACATACTAACAACAAACTGACAGCTAGCCACCGAAGGCAGAAATGGTGTCCATGATACTGGACAGGAAATCCTTAGCGTACCTCACCAAATTCATACTAAGCCTACCGCGTTTAGCTGCTACAGAAGGAGCCTCCTCTAAAAACTTTTCAATCTTTCCACCATTAGGATCTGACGAAGTCGGAGATAACTTCAAAGGATTATGAGCCTTTCCATAGCTGTTTGATGGGCTTAGGAGATCGGGTCATTGAAAGTGGCTGCTAAACTTGAGCCTCACGAACACCTGCAAAACAAGCTTTCTATTATGAGGTTGTATTGTTCAGGAAAGCAGCTTTGGCATCAGTGTTTTAACACCATTTTGTGTAATGTATTAAATGGAGAATTGCTTGAAACACAAAAAGGAAGTAGGGCCTAACCTGAATAGCTCATGCATGCCCTAGCCCGAACCATCACTCAAAAGTTGGGTTTGGGTTTGATCCCTCTAAACTAGAATTGGGTCTGGCCTTTTAAGCCCACACCGTCAGGACCCATCACTTCATAAACAATCTTCCTTTTCAATTCTTTGTTGACTACATTTCAAACGCTAAGCTGCAAACGAAAAGCCTTGCAATCAACTAGCCTCCTCAATACAATCTTCCAGTTAGCAATCATCAAATGCCTGGGATACTCTCAGATGATTGACCCCAACCCCTCCAAAACCTTCAATCTGTATTTTGAAGATTCATTTTTCTGAACATCATAAATGAATGCCTTCTGCTTGGCCACCAGCTTGTTCCACTCGTCCAGGTATTCAGGATTGCGAGTGTAATCTGTCAGCTTCTCCATTTGAACAATCTTTAAAACCAAGTCAGTGGACTGCTCTCTCATTTTCACCATTAGACTCTGACTTCCCCATTTAGTGGTTATCAGCAGCTGGTGAAAGTTCAGTGTGGGTTACCAAAATAGACAGAACCACGGCAGGACGGGGAAGTAAATTTAGAAGTTCGATCGCTTTGGCTTCATCCGAAGCATGAATTTCGTCCATCAGGATGTTTCTAGCATGGTTATTTCCTGGGAAGCTGAGGAGTTTACTGGATTATTGGTTGAACATTTCAATCAGGATACTCACCATATTCACCTATCACCAGGGTTTTCCTCAGCGACTCTTTGATCCATAACTTCCATGAAAGCAGTCACGGATTCAGTAATTGATGTCATAGCCTTGAATATCCTGTTCAAACCAGTCACATTTCTATTCAACTTCTAGCAAATTTTCTAACAATCTCCAGCCAGCATCTAGCCATTATAGTAGCTTGAATCTGCATCAATTTTTAAGCCAAAACAGGAATATCATTAAGGGACCTGTCGATCATGGAAAGAAGTTGATGAATTGCAAACATTTCTTCTTCTTCCATCCGCGTCATCCTCACAAGACTCATCACCAATATGATTTCTCACAGGGACATAACCAAGGCCTATGTTCACATCATCTGGAGTAACCTTCTCAAGCAACCCTTCAGGTGCTTTATGTGCCTTTGTAAACACAGCTATAGTCCACTGCCCGGTCTTGTCCACTTGCCGTGACATCCTAATGGATTCGAATGTGGTGAAATCAACACTCGCGTACAAAATATTAAGGATGATACTCTCTTCAGGCCGTATCCCGCTAGATGTTGTCAGGCTGCCGTGAACGGGCACTCTAGAGATTCCAGAAAGATCAGCCATCGTTAGATCAGGAAAAACATTTTTCATTACCACCAAAGTTAATGGAGCATTCGAAATGCCCTTACCACTGCCTGAAATCTCCTGAGTTGCAATATTTATGGCATCTGCAATGGGGACTTCATCTGTCTGACATGTTTTGCTATTAAACTCCAAGAACATGTCTGGTATGACAGATGGATGATGTTGCAGCCTAATAATGAGGGGCAATCTAGTTCATATTCCCTGGCCTCGAGGAAGGCTAATACCAGCAGGTGATTCAAGAACACTAGATTTTCCGGAAGATTGATCGCCGACAACGACAATGGTGGGGAGTAGTATCGCTTCTTTCATCACTTCATATGAGGTGCTCAACTTTTCAACTCCATCAGGATTGGCTGAATACAATCACTGAAAACACCAAAAATTAAAATGTAGTGTAAGGATGTTTAATTTACCATATTAGCATTAAAAACATAAAAAATATTCAAGAAAACTCTAGAATTCATACAATTTTAAAACTATATATAAACATGCAAAATAAAAACTAATGGAAAATATCTTTTCAAATCAAGAGAAAACACAAAACATATATAAAAAGAGAAGTAATACATAAAATGAGATGAGAAAGACTGTATAAAAATTTGATGGAAAAAAACTTGTAGAAAACTCTTGCTTTATTCCTTTTTTATAGAAACTTTTGAAAGTAAAACGGTTAAAAAATTAATTCTTGTAATAATAAAAATTAATTTTAAACAAGGTTTTTAAATTAAAGTAACAAACTCAATTATCTTTAAACAAAGTAGACACTTTAGATTTGGAAGGAAACACAAAGTATAAAAAGAGAATGAATATACTAAAATAAGGTAAGAATGAGTGAGTAAAAGTTTAGAAAAAACTCTTACTTCACTTTTTTTTTTATAGTGATTTTTGAAAGCTAAATTGTTAAAAAGTTAATTCTTGTAATAATTAAAATAAATTCTTATTATTATCAAGATTTGATTAGCTATCATAACTCAAAAATTAAATTCGAATATAATGGTCATAAATCTAATTTTTTATTTAAAAAACTATTTAGATTTGTATAAAATATTTATGGAAGGGATTACTAACACTCATGATCTGGAGTAAACAAAACAATGGGTTAAAATAAATAATTCTTCGTGGACAAGATTCAAGTTTAGATTTTAATTAATAAAAAATAATTATATTCTAAAATATTATTTTATAATAAATTCAAAATTAAAGTCTGAATACAAACTGATATGTATGGAGGGGTTTAAACTCAAAGCTTATTTTGTATGGTATATCTCTCCTCTGAAAGCCTAAGTGTTTTTTAGGCTTAATTTAACTTTTTTATTTTATAAATATCAAGAAAGGTTTTTTTTTTGAGGTAGGATAAAGTTGTTTTTAGAAGGTTTTTAGGTTTCATCGAAATATGTAAACCAAGAATTTTTTTAAAAATAATTTTTTATTCATCTAAAATTTATTTAAATTATGTTAATGTTAAATGTTAAAGAATTTAATATTATATTAAATATTAAATTTCTATAAAATTTTAATTTAAAATATGCCAACCAATGAATTTTTTTCTTTCAGAGTAAAAAAAATAATATACAGACATTGTTAATGTATTTTCTAACATTAAGATTTTGTATTTTAATTATGAACTAAGAAAGTTAATGTTTGCATTCAATAAAGTAGTTAATGACAATTAAGAACAAAGTCAAGAAATAAATACGAATTAAGATATCTATTCTCGATATCTAATCTCAGTTGCAGGTATCTTTTCAAAAATGAAAAATTTTCTACATATGACAATAATAAAAATTTGGGATAAAAATAATAATTTAAATCTTATTAAAATAAAATAATTTTATAGTATAATTCATTATTATTTTTAATAAAAAATATAATTTTTCAAGTTATTTTGCTCACTCAATAAAAACTAAAAACAATCAGAATAAATATATAAATAATTAAATAATTTTAAATCAGGACAAAAAAAGAATTTATTTAATTAAAATTCATTCATACTGAATAATCATTATTTATATTTTGGTTAATTTTTATATAATATATATTCAAAAACTAATTAAATAAAAGTTAACCAAAATAATTAGTTTTTGAAAACTGCTTATTAGAATCATAAAAGTAAATTTGAATTAAGAAAAAACCCTATTTTGACAATCATGATGCAATTGTATTAGAAATAAAAGGAATATATAATGCTCAGACGTTGTTATAGAAAACTTCTCAGAATCAATTTTTTTTATTAATTATACAAAAAAAAGACATTCATAGGAAATAAAATGAATAAAATAATGGAGAAAAAAATATTTTTTTCCATCAAAGCCATTTTTTAATTCATGTAACTTTATTTTTTGCTTTTTTACAAAATTATTTTTATGAGAAGCATAAATAATTTTTCTATTCGTTGTCTGTAAATTGTAATCCTTAACATATTTATGAACTATAAATATGTGTTGAATTCCCAACAAGTATTTAATAAATAATTAATATGAAATAAATCTATTTATATATATTTTTAAATACCTATATTTTATATCATTTTAAATAAATATAAGGATTATTGTAACAAAAAAGATCTATAATAAAAATAATTTCTAAATTAAAGACAAAATAATCAGAAGTTAATTCAATTCATTTTCGGATAATTTAATATAACAATTGTAATACATCATCAATTAAATTCAAATTTAAAGATTTCGACAGTAATTGAATGTGTTAGCAAAATAACGAGATGATCCCTAACCATTAAGCTCCAAGCCCAATAATCTGCCAGCTATTGCCAAAAACAAGCCTTCTGGTGAATAGACACAAACTAAAAAGCAACCGATGATAAACTGCCACAAACACCTTAAAGGCTGAATAGAGTGCATTCCTTTCTCTCTTAACAGAGCATTCAAGATCCCAAAAATCAGCAAATCATCAATTGTTCATTGAATATAAGCAAATCAACAGCAAACTTGGAATGAAGATGAAGTTAACATCCCTGCCAACAACCATGCTTTCACACTGCAACCAACCTTGTAG